GGGGAGGTGCTGGGATGGGTCGGATCCATGAGAAAAAATAAAAGATTTGGATTCTTTTTGTTTTTTAAAGGATGACGCTGAGCTGCGTGATGGGGGGGATGGAAGGGGGGGGGGTCGGTCCTGCTGCAGCCCCCTGGGATGGAATCACCCCAACAGAGGGATCCCCTGCGGGATAAAGGCAGGGGAAGGGCTGATGGAGGGCTGGGAGCCAGCTGCAGGCAGGGAGCGGGCACAGCTGGGGGAGAGCACAGAAAAACCAGACGCAACGTTAGCAGCAATTTCCCCAGTTTATTGAAAGGGATTGATTTCTGCACGTATGTCTACGCTAAGTCCCATCACAATGTATGCACACTCAAAGGGCACAGCTCTGGGTGCCAGGCAGACAGAGACCAAAGGGAGGCCCTGTCAGCTGAACTACATCGACAGGGAGTCAGTACAACACAGCCACGTCCTCTGCTGACCTCGGAGACCCAAATCTCCTCCCCCGAAATATTTAACACATCTTCGATACAAACACAGCTTTTATAATAATCATTATGAAGTCAGTTATAATATAGAATATTTCCGGCAAAAGGAAATAATTCACCATCATCATCTTCGAACACCGCCCTCTTTCTGTTCAGCTTTATTTCTGCAGACAGGTTTAAAGCACGTTGGAAAAATAAATAGAGGTGGGAGCACACACACAGCACTCGTACTAAAGAACTAAAAACGAAGGCAGGAACCCAAAACACAGCGCAGGGCAACCGAAACGTACAGAGAACCACAGAGAACCATTCCGTATGGCTTTCGTAGGAGTTGCAGAATGAGCTGAAAGAAGCTCAGCTCCTTGGTAAGACTGCAAGGATTCCAGTTTTTGCATCTGCATGGAGTTCCTTTCTAAGGGGGCAGCGAAGCTGTGGCTCTTAGCACGGGTCAGAGGGCTCTGTTTGGTACACAGAGTGCAGCCCCCAGAGAGGAGTGGTGCTGGATGATAATGCTGACACACTGTTAGCTTTTCTGTGCAGCTTCCTTTTTAAAGTCATTTTTAACCTCTTTCTTTCGCATCCTCAATGCTGAGTGCACCCAAATGGTGCTGCTGGGCTCCATGTCCAAAAAGGAAAGGAAAGGAAAAATGGGAAACGTTTCCAAACACGAAGCAAAGCTGAGGTCACCCCGGGCTTTGAGGGAGGATGGGGGGCTCCCAGCTCTTGTGCTGTGGGATGGAATGTCACAGAAAATAAGGGGGCAGGGGTTGGGTGTACAGGTTCTGTTTTTAAATAGGTTTACATATCAAAGCAAAGCTGCAGCCATCTGTAAGTACTGTGTGCGTTTGTCTACACAGAAGTGGGGGCACTCAGGGCCCCTGCTATTGACAGGGCCGACAATAAATACAGATCTGTGGGAGTAGAGCTGCCTGGCACGGGGCTGGGGCAGCTTTGGGGCCTGGAGGACGGCAGTGAAGGCTGATGGTAGAACACGGGGATTGCTTTCGTCTGCCCAAACACGGCCGTGGGGCTCGACGTGGAGCTACGATGCAAAACCAAGGTCTGTGCAGCTCAGTGTTTCTGCACCACCCCCCGCTGCAGCACACAGGGACCAGCACAGCTGGCAGCAGTGGGACACGTTGAACCCCATCCCCAAAGTGCAACAACGCCAACAGAGATACGTGCAGACGTCTGCATGGAACTGCAGAGCAGGGCTGGCAGCCAGCAGCTCCGACCCCGAGGGAGCGGTGGGGGTGAGGGCACCACAAACCCTGTTTTCTTGCCGAGCAGAACCACGCTTCCATCGAAACCAACACCTGTAAGGAGCTCCCTCCCCACCGAGATCCTTTCCCACCGTCGGAGGATAACGAATAGCACCTTGGAGTCATTTGGCTGGCGGCACCAGGTTGTCCTTGGCGGCAGCTTTCAAGGAGCGTCGTGGCAGGCAGCGTAGAAAATGGCTCCGTAGCGAGGAAGGAGCGAGGTCTTCAGCTTTTTCGGGTTGTTTTTTTTTGCCTTGTTTTTATAAAAAAGCACCAGAAGCAAAGAGGTGAAAGGTAACACGGATTTCTTCTCGCCCATCAGGACCCCTGCAGAGCACTGCGAGTCATTTCCTCGGGGCTGGAAGCAGGCAGCCGCGCTCCATCTGGACACGGAGCATCCAACCACTCGGAGCCACCCAAACCTTTCCGAGACACGCCAGGAGAGAAACCTGGTTCTCATAAAAACATTTTATTTGCAAATTTACATGAAACCAGTGCAGCTGAGATCGAAGGGTTTCCTTAATAGCTTTCACACCTACCAACGATGGACTGAAGCCCACCCAGGTGAGATCCCAGCAGGATTTGGGGTCTCCTCACCTCGGCGTCCCGTGTTTCACAGTTCATCCTAAAGGTCTCGCTTTTTCTACCGTTTGCATATATTTGTGAGAAAGGCAGCTGAGCAAAGGGAGGAAAGTGAAAATATCAGTGGAAAACGCCGACAGGTGGACAATTCCCTGTGTCCTTATAGCAAAGAGTCCATGAAAATGCCAGCGCCCATCGGTGGGCGCGGAGACGCAAGGCTGGAAGACAGGACACGGGTACGACGCCGCTGGGTCCTAGAAATGCCATCATCTTTTTTGATGGTGATCCTTCTGGAAGCTAAAAATCTACTTTTATGACCAGAATCGTAAGGCTGCAATGCCACTTGCCTTTTGATCTATTTGGCTCGGTAAAAAAAAAAAACAAACAATAAAAACCCTCTTTAAATAACTTGCAAAAGGCCTGCATCGTTAGGGGAAGCCCTCGGAAACGTGCGCCCATTCGTTCCCACCACCTCTAGTTTGCAATTCCACTGCTGCTGGGATGTTAATCCATAGAAGAGGTGTTAAGCACCACCCAAAACCAACGTCGGACACAACATCTCCTGGAGCTCAATGCAGGGTGGGACGGGGGCACGTGCCCCTAGGATCCCCATGCAGGATCGAGGAGGAACAGCAGGCGGCGGGGCCGTGTTGCTAACACACATCCAAGTGGAACAGAGCAGGACTCGTTTAGAAAACACAAATAGTTTTGCACACGTGGACGACAACAAGGCTATGTAGTTTCTGCAACATACTCCTTCCTCCCCTGCCCTCCCTCCCCCTACAAACAACAGAACGTGACAAAAGGATCCCTAAGAAATCCAGGTAAAATCCTTGTCGTTCTCCCCAGAGTTCTCCTGCGAGGAGTCGACGTCTTTGTCATCATCCAAAATCACGTCGTCGTGCGCCATGCCCACGTCATCCTTCCATTTGATGTCATCGTCGTCTCCCGTCTCCTCGTCTCCCTCCACCTTGATGTCATCCGGGTCTTCCATGTACGCCCCCTCCCCAGGGTACAGCTCTTCAGGGGACCCCTCGGCCCCGCTGGGCTCCAGGTGCCCGGCCACGCTGCGCCCCGAGCAGTCGGCGCAGACGCCGTGCCGCCGGGAGCCGTGCTTGATGCCCACGCTGGCTGCAGACATGAACACCCTGTTGCACACCTTGCAGACGTATTTCTTGTCCTTGCTGTGCACCTGGGGAAGGGGAGGAGCAGAAGGGTTAACGGTGACGGAGCTGGGCTGAGGGCTGCGTGAGGGCTGCTCAGCTGCCTTTCTGCTAACCAAGGCTTTCGTCGTGCCAACGTCAGCCCCTCACAGTAATTCTGCTCTGTAACGCTGCAGTACAGTGGGAAATCATGTCATCACAGCATGGTTGGCTTGGAAGGGACCTTAAGGCTCCAACTGCTACCGTGGACAGAGATGGCTCCCACACAGCAGGCTGCACAGGGCCCCGGGCCCCTGCAAGGATGGGGCACCCAACGTTCTGTGCCAGAGCCTCACTGCCCTTGGAGTGAAGAATTTCCACCTAACATCTGAGCTGAATCTCCCCTCTCTTAGTCTAAAATCATTCTCCTTTGTCCTATCACTGTCACGCCACCTAGTTCTCAAAATCCTCTTGAAAATGCCTATGATCAAGCTGGGAATATTTGAGAGGAACTTCCAGCTTGCAGCCACTCAGGATGCTGCAAGCAGAGCAGGAAGGAAGCTCTGCACACACAGAGCCATACCTCCAACCAGAGCTGGACACAGAGCTGGACACAGAGCTGGACACAGAGCTGGACACAGAGCTGGACAAGCCCCGGGCTGCACTTCCTGCCTGCTCCTGCAGCCGGGAAGCACCGCTTACACCCTGTGACCACACAGAGGCACCATCCGAGATGCAAAGACTTCAGGAAGAAAACCCTGTGTTTATTTCGACCGTCTGTCTCAAAGAAAACAGACATTTCTATTGAATTTACATTTTATATGAAGGCTATAAAAAAATCCTTTTTGATCTGAGCTAAACACGAAACTAAAATAGCCCCTTTTGTCTTTAGTTCTCAACTGAGGAACTGAAAGAAAAGAAAGTTTTTGTGTGTGCTGAACCTGTTTCCTTTTTCTATGTTATTTTTATACAATATTTTCCCTTGATGCCTATCAGCACTCATCTCTGCAGATTTACCAGAGAGCTGACAATTAAGCCCAAAACACTGTACAAAAAGGAAATAAGATTAGCAGACCAGCAAAGCACACGATCCCAGACGTTCAGATTGCCACGAGCATTACGCCTTTGGTAGAGGAAGCTCTTGGTGCCATTTGGATATAATCATAATCACAGAATAAGAAAATGCCCCTTTTCACAGCTCCCTTTCAGAAGGAGTGCTTTGGACAGCAGGGCTGCCTGGAGTCTCACTGCAACACCCCTTGGGGAGATGCTTCCCATCCAAACTCGAGCAGAACTAAACTCTGTTGTGTGCTCTCCAGAACAAGCAAGCAAGCAAACAAACAGAAAAACCCCAACAAACTTAAACGAAACAAATGTCTTTTTTTTTTCCCTCCAGTGCAGACCTTGGAGTCACTTATGGACGACTGGAATGAAACCAAAGTGCTACTGTCAGCACTGCACCTTTTTTCGTTGTTGTTCAGGAACTTATTCTGGTACTACAAATTTGTACCCAGCTGGTGTTTTCTATCTACCTTCAATTCCCTACATGAAGATGGTCTGAGGGAGAGATCTGGATAGAAACTCCTCTTCTGTATGGATTCACATTCTGATTCTGTTTTCACCTCCCCACATGTATAATAGTAAAGTGAACCTGACCTGCAAGCTCCAAGCACCAAGTCAGCGACCTAGAATGATTCCAGCAGAAGAAACGGAGACCTAACTCAACTTGCAGATCCCCTCAATCCCACTCCTGAAATACAGCCTGTGGGCTGGGTTGCTGGGAAGCAGCACTGCAGAGAAGGACCCAGGTGTCCTGGTGGCCAATGGGTGACCAATGGGTGACCAATGGGTGACCAATGGGTGACCAATGGTTGACCACGAGCCAGCAGTGTGCCCTGGTGGCCAGCGAGGCCAATGGCACCCTGGCACGTGTTAAAATGAGCGTGGCCAGCAGGGCATTCTGTGCCACCTGCTCCGGGGAGCCTGCTTGACACGATGCCCAGAGGTCCCTTCCAACCCCTCCAGTTCTGTGAATGTCATCTCCACACTGCACACAGCCCCCAGCCCTTACCAGCGTGTGCCTCTTCATGTGCTCCCGACGCGTGAACTTCTTCCCGCAGATCTCACAGGGGTAAGGCCGCTCTCCCGTGTGGGACCGCATGTGTCTCTTCAGAATGCACTGATGCATGGCAGAGAAGCTGCAGTAGGGGCACTTGAATTTCTTCCTGATCACTGTGAACTCGTTGACTGTAAGAGAGCAAGCGAAACGAGCAGATTACTTTCACAATGTCCCCTCGTGGTCGGTGCTCTGGTTCAGCGTTTCCTGTTAGATCAGATCGCTGCGAAATCACACTCTCACCCCTTCACCACCTGCAATTTTCTAAATCCATGTCCTTATTCCATATTATTAATATCCACTGTAGCTGAGAGCTTTGCCTTCATCAGAGCAGCTTTGGAACGAGGCAGAACGCAAACACGAGCAGCCCAACACACATTGCCTAATGCTGGTCAAGGAGCAAACAGCAGGCTGGCAACCTGTTGACAATTCTGACTTACTGTAGGGAATCACCCTCAATACCAGTATCTAAAACCCCAACGCTTGTTTGCAGAGCACCAGCCAGCAGAACCCAGCAGCAGCACCACACTGTGCTGGTATTTGGGGCTGCAAGCGAGTCCCCTGTGTGTGCTCCACTGCTGCTTCAGTGGAAGTGCAATGACTACAGCTTATCCAGCAGAAACAAGAGGTCAGGACTATCCATGCTCCATTATCCAGCTTCCAACTAGTGCTACCGCAGCACAGATACAGAAATACAGAGGAATGCATCGTGCCAGACTACAGCATGGCCCTGGTGAGCCTCCTTACAAGCCAGCTCTACAAGTCTAAGGCTTTGATGGTTCTTCTCCCCCCCCCAAATCACATTATACCGAACTGGAAAACGATGAAATTTTATTTGAAGTCGTTCTGACATTGTTGATTCTTTTCTTCTTGTCATCTCCTTAGGAGTGCACAGACAGCAGGCTCGGGGGACGCATCCAGCACTGACAGCCCAGGGGTCCAATTTGCCAGCAGAATGCACACAGCAGCTGTGTTGGTATTTCCTCCTCCAAACACATTGAAGTGCAATATGCAAAATGCAGCAGGTGGAAACAGAGTGTTTGCTGTTCCCCGAGGACATCCACCCACTATAAATTTGGGATAGACCATCCACACAGATATGCCTTTAAATCTCTACAGTTCTTACAGTGCTATGGCTTCCTATTCATATGTTAATTTTCACCCATTTTTGTCCTAATTATCACCACTTCTCAAAGCAATCTATCGTTTACATAACAAGGAAGGGAGAAAAAAAGAAAGCAAATTGCAGTTAATCATCATAAGTACGCTGTATCATGTGTGCTAATGGATTTGTATAAATGACAATGACAGGAAAGCAGAGGGAACAAGGCACACGGCAGACCTGCCTGTAGGCATGTGACACATGGAGCAGCGTTTCTGGGTGCCCGCTGAGGTGCTCTGTCCCACAGCAGATCTGACATACCGTGTAATTACCAGAGGCAAGGAGCCCACTTTCTCCTGCAGGAGAAGTCTTGCAGATGGTTCACAGCGATGGCACAAGGCTATTTGTGACAGATATGTTTCCAGTCTGATCTTGTAACCGTTTGCATTACAACAGCCACAAAAACAAGTGTCCTCCCTAGGATTGCTATAAACCCACTGCCTGGCAGTCCAGACAGCAGAGGTGGGCTGTAAGCTGATAGAGCAGAGGATGCAATGCCCAATTCTCCCTCCACTCTGCAGCACATCCCACTGGTACACCGAGCAGCTTGCTTTACCCCACTTCAGAAAGAACCAACCCAGAGGTACCTGCAACCAGGGCCAGGATTACACAGCCAAGCGCTTTGGAGAAGGAAATGCTGCAAAAAACCTCCACATCCTCCACCACCAGATTGTACCTCAATGACCAGATGCTCTCGGGGGTTTACCACGAATATCAATCATCCATTTTATGGCTGAGCTACCACAAAAGCTTACGAGGCAGCTGCAAGGCTCAGGTGCCAGCCCCGCATCGGCAGCACGCTGCTCTCACAGCAGTCCTGGACACGCACAGCTTGGCTGTGCAACCACAGCAGTGCCACGGAATCACAGCATCATCGAAGTTGGAGAAGAGCTCTGAGATGCCCAAGTTCAAGCAAACCCACCTCACCGTGCCCACTGACCACGTTCCTCAGTGCCACATCTCCACAGCTCTGGAACACCTCCAGAGGCAGTGAGCCATCACCCCTGGGCAGCTGTGCCACTGCATCACTGCTCTTTGGCAGCCTTGGTTTTATTGAACTAATGGTCACCAGAGAGCCATCATATTTAGCTTTGGATCTTTTTTACACACCTGAAAAATAACAGCACTGTTGGAAAAATAATCATATCAGAAGAGTTTTCTATGCAAACCCAATGGGTGATACCCTATGGAAGACCTCCAAGCTGAAGGCAGGAAGGCAAAGTGAAATACCACTGAAACTGCTGCTGGAGCCAAAGAGCTGGAGGACTGCAAGGAAATTGCTCTGTGCTGAATGAAGCTCTCAAACAATCTGTGAGCGTTTTCATATGCAGTTACAACCTACAAGTAATTGATTCTGCCAACATTTTTAATTAGGAAACTCTCCATTGGACGATCAGACATTGTCTATCCAGAGCAAACATGTCCGTGTGACACACGTGTCACATCACATCCACGGGGACGGTGGCGGGGTTTTCAACACCACCTTTGTCCTTTGGACACACCAGACTTGTGACTGATATTACAGTGGGACAACATTTGCACACAGGCACGCAAAGAACCAGCAGGAAATGCTACTGACCAGAACTCACTGCAATCCTCCGCAGGTGCACAGCCCTGCTGTGCTGCTCCCACGTTTCCAAGTGAAACCCATTTTGGCCACTTTTTCCTCTTGCTCAGCTTTCCACTACCTCACCTTTCTGCTTACTGAAGAGTAAAGTAAACCACGAGGCAACTAACGAGCTGACAAGGAACTAGAAAAGCCAATGCACTGTGAACTAGACACAACAGCAGAGACGCTGATGAGAACAACTGCACTTAGCTATGCTGCTTTCATTTAACAGCAGCTACAGCCTGGTTTGACAGGTAAATGTATTGCAAAAGACATTCAGTGTTTTTTTTAAATAAATAATTTCATGTCACAAAACATGAGTTACAGTAGGATTTCCACCTTTCACTAAGAACCACTCCTGGTTTTCTATGCACACCACTGCTGAGACCTTCTTCACAAGTCGTTCTCAAGTTCCAAAGCATACATTCATCTTGGCTAACATAAATTATATTAAATAAATTAGCTGGAAAATTTGCACAACCGCAGAAAGCCCCAGCCATACCCAGGTATATTTTCTAAGAACTTCTAAAAACTCAAAAATGAGATCAAGTATTAAAATACACCAACGCTGTGGCAATTGTCAAACCCCAAACAGTGTTTTGCCTCTCCTTCAGATGACACAGAAGCCCAGACCTGACAACACCTCCCAGTGCAAAGCAGCCCCACACCCCCACAGCTCCTCATTTCAAGCTGAACAACCCTGAAATGCTCAAATTGTACCACAAACAGAGCATGGGACCAGAACACGGAATACCGAACTCTGCCATTAATTCCACTAACGTGCTCACAGGCTTAGGGATGTCATTTTCTCAGGAAAACATCACCGTTTCTTTTATAAAGCACTTTGAGATCCACTGATGCATAAAGATAAGTGCGCAGGATATCATACCACTAAGGCATCCAAAGTGCCACGATGTAGACTGACCAAGGACATGTCCACACCAGAATCACACCATGGTGCAGCTACACGGTGTGTGGCACCAGCACCCAACCTGGTCAGTTTTGAGGAGTTGCTCTACAACCTTACACCTCTTGTAAGGAGACCGTTTGTTTTCCTAGCTCAGCAGCAAGGCCCAGCACACAGCGGCCGGGCAGCACACCTTGGCATGGCGAGCGAGGTTCTTCTGTGTGCCCAAGCCCTTGCCACAGAGGAGACACACAAAAGCGCGCTCGATCGAGTGCACAGACACAAGGTGCTGGGTTAAGTCTGTCTTGTCACGAAATGGCTCGGTGCAGCTAGGACACTGCATCTTCTTACAGTTGAAGTGGATGATCTTCTCGTGGCGGTCCATGTTGGACTTGAGCGTGAAGCTGGCGGGGCACTGGGCGCACTGGAAGCGGCCGGGAGGCACGGTGCCCAGCAGGCCGGGCCGTGTACGGGCATCCAGAGGGAGCAGCAGGGAGAGGGCAGCCTCGTGCTGGTAGATGTGCCCGTGGATGTGCTCCTGCAGCTCCTCTGCACGCTCAAAGACCCTCCTGCAGAAGCCGCAGGTCAGTCCCTTGGGCAGGGCTGGGTCTGGGAATGGGCTGTCGTGGGTTACATCCGTGCCTTCTGACCTCAAACACGCATCTGAAATGGAAACAGACACACGTGTGTACAAATCACTGCTGTTGGGTTAAAATAATGGTTGTTTCTAAAGCATTTTTACTCTCTGCTTACCTGAGTCAGAGCTATCAAATGGCCAAAGTGCCAGAAACCCATCGTAAGCAGCCTGCGAACGGAAAGCACGCTCAGGTTACGGCATGCCCATAAAGCACCCATCCTCAGTGCTCAGCCCCAGCTGGGTGGAACGAGTTGGTCTGTAAGGCTGTTCTGTCACTCCGTGATGTGATCGGGCCCCATGCTCACAGCTCACCACTTGTCCTGCCCACATCACCACCCGTACAAAGCTCCCTTTGTCACAGTGAGGTCACCAGGCTGTGCTCTGCAGGGCTGCTGCTTAGGGCAGCCACCAATGTGCCTATTTCAAGCGGTAACCGAGTTCTTGGTGTCCCTCAGCACCTGTAGCTCGCACTCAGACCAGTAGCAGACCCAGGGCACATTGCCACCGAATACAAAAGAAGTGGAAAATTTTCCCTTTGCCCCACGCAGCTGCCTTTCTTTCCATGTAGCAAAGCCCATGCAAAACTCGCTTCCCTTTACGCAATGCTCCCTGGCATTGGTAATCCACCTTATAAATAAAAGCTGATTTTTTTCCCCGTGTGCAGCGTGGCAGATGGTGGCCCAGCACGGGGCCGTGCGGCAGGGCTGCAGGCTGAAGCCCCAGCTCCTGTGCTCCGCTCTGCATGAGGAAAGCTGGGCTGCCACCACGTGGGTAGTGCCAAACTGCAGAAACTGAGAAATGCCTCAGAAAGGTACGGGTGCCCCATCCCTGGAGGTGCCCAAGGATGGGTCGCACAGGGCCCTGGGCAGGCTGAGCTGGTGCAGGACCAGCCCATGTAGGGGTTGAGAGGGCTGTACGGTCCCTTCCAACCCAACCATAACGTGGTTCTGCAATCTGTAAGAATCATTCCAACTCAACTATTATATCCTATGGCAATTTGCTTCTAACTCTACTTAGATCACTGAAAGAAGCCCATATTAAAACCACCAGAAATGGGCAGCAAAGAGCTGGGAGCTCAGCTACCTTTACGCCATTATTAATGGAAAAGTATGAATAGCTTTTAGAATGCACACTGAGGTTAGGAAGAAGATATAAGGGCAGCAACAGCTCTGACCCTAACAGACCTCTAGTTTTAAAATGACCTCTTTTTATTCAGAACAGCTAAGATATTGGTGGTATATTGGCTTCTTGCAATAATCTAAGGGGCCAGAACCACCGTCCCTGCAGGCGTTCAAGCACATGGAGATGTGGCACTGAGGGACATGGTCAGTGAGCATGGTGGGATGGTTTGGGGTTGAACCTGGGGAACTTGGAGCTCTTTTTCAACCTTTATGATGGCCATAGTCTTTCAAAGCTCTCCTGACTGGAGATAACTGGATTCTATTGACACCTCTGCCTTTCTCCCCATGATCTTACCTGGGTGGAAGAGGGCAGCTCTCCTTTCGCGGTGGCTTCTGGTGACATGTCACCAGAGGAGCAGCTGGCGGGGGGGCTCTGAGTGGCAAGGTGTGCTGCAGGCAGCGGGGGGGACGCAGCTTCCACTTTGCCATCACTTTCGCCCCTGGAACGACTCCAGTTGGTGCCAGGCCCTGGAGAACACAGGAAACGAATCTCACCCGCGTGCACCAGCACCAGCTCAGAGCAGGGACGGGCAGAGACCTCCTGGCACTGGGGGCTCTGGTGGCGGATGGGCGCAGCTCTCAGGGAGCGCCGCTGCCAACGCAGCACCGGGAGCTTCACAGAACGCACACACAGGTGTGGCTGTAAGTGAGGTTTCCTGGAAATGGACGCTGGAGCTTTGGACCTCAAAACTGGAGTTATTTAACGCAGCCTTGATCTCAAAGTGCTTTATAAAAGATGGAAAAATACAGATACATGTGGCTTTGACGCTATTCCTAGCAAGCAGGAAGTTCCAACAGTTGTACAAAGCGATTCAATCACACCCGATAGTTGTTCCATTCCAAAACCCTGCTGTAGGTGAGCAGGAAACCATTGCTGGTGTGATGGAAGCAGAGCACAGCCACCCACTGCCCCTCAGCAGCCAGCAGTACACAACATCCCCAACGCTACACCAGTGAAGAGAAACCCTACAGAAAAGAGATCTGTACGACGAAGACCAGCACGTGACAACTGGCTGACCAGCAGCCAGCACCTGACTGCACCATGCTAATGATGCATTGGGCTGGTCTTCTCTTTATTAGTATTTTTTTGGATGAGCAAGTAGGTGAAGTCAGAAGCAAACACTGCACGGAAGTCAATTCATATTTAAAGCATTATGCCCTAAAGGATTTTCATTTTTAATACAGAAGTGTACCAACAGAACACAAGAGCTGCCCTCCTTAATGCAGCAGCAAACAGCAAAGCTGATGCTGTGCTGGAGCACAATGCCCTCATCTGGGTCACAACGTGGCACTCATGTACAACTGCACAAAGGTTTCTAAATCCGAACAATCCCACACTTTTATTATTATTAAATAAATCAGCTCTCAAACAACACAACACAACGGCACCAGCGTGATTTTTTTAAACAATCACTGATGTTTATTTGGGTTTAACTAGTGTAAATAAGGCAGGAGGAGAAACCCATACGAATGACTCAGCCTTCGTACGTGAGAAATGAATTTGTTTTGTCCCATTCTGACCAGTATGGTGAGAAACCATTTTCCCTTACAAATTTCCATCTGTTGAATTTTAATGAAAAGTATTTTCACTTTGAAATGGGGAATGAATTGCTTCCCTTTTGCCAGCTCTGCACAGGGATGCACTGGGTTAGCAGTGCTATGTGAGCACAGCGTTCCCTGGCAGCTGGACAGCATGCTGCTGTGGGAAACAGAGAGGAAAGGTTATCACATCTCATCTACAATTACACTCATTCTCCCCTGAATCTTGTTTTCCCCCCGTTTTAAAATTCCACACCAAACTGAATACCTTTAATTCCCATTTGGGAAACTGACTGCTGTGCAAAATGTATTTCTTTAACACGTTGTGCAAGTATAAATTATTGGCCCTGATGAACTAACTAAAAATAAAGCATTAGCTGGTTTGCCCAAAAGAAAAGAGCTCTGTGTGCCATGCAATCTTTCGGACAACAAGCTCCATAGGAATTGCTTCTATAAACAGTTTCAGTTGCAAGAGGGTAAACAGGAAAAGCCAAACTTAGAGCCACAAAGCAGCGTGCAATGGAGTGCTCTGGAGGAGGGGAGCTGCTCCTCAGGGCAGCCCAACCCAACCACCTCCAATCTGAAATGCTTCCTTGTAGAAGAAAAAACAAAACTAAGAATAAGGAGAAAACAAAGATGTAAATTAACCAACTTACTCCCTAAAGTGTATTAAAATTCTCATTCTTTGGATAATACTTGGCAAAAACATCTAAAAGCATCCAACCGAAGCCTTTGAGATTTTGTAGCTGTGGTGTAACTACACGTAGCAATGCTACCAAAGTTCAGCACTGTCCCACCAAGGAGCTCCAGCACTGCTGAAGCTGGAAAGTGGCAAAGAGCAGCCCCAAAACCATGGAAAGAAATGGAAAGCTGAAAGTCTTACAGCATCTTATCAGAAGAACAGCCCCAAACCAGGCCACGCAGGTTCAGTAACCAGTAATATCCAAGCTGCCCATAAATAACTCACATATTTCTTTCTCCAAAACCTCTACATTCAGGTTTCTGACTGCACAGTAGCAGTCAACCTCAAGCACGTGCCACGAACATCACAAACCCTGAGAGCCACTCAGCCACCCACCCAGCCATTCACCCAACCATCCATCCAGCCAACCACCCATCCAGCCAAACAACCACCCAGCCATTCACACAGCCATCCAGCCAGTCACCCTATCAGCCACCCAACCATCCACCCAACCAACCAACCAACACTGCTATTCATCCAGCCAACCAACCACACAGCCATTCACCCACCCACCCACCCA